AATTTCTAAGAAAATAGTAATATTATTTGGATAATTTTTTTATATTATTTTTTTATACAACTTTTACATATCATTAAATGAATAGATGCATTTAATACCACGAGTTTTATATGAATTAAAAGAATTAATAATTTAAATGACATGTTAAATTGTACAAAAAGATAAAATAAAAAAATTGGGCAAAATCATTTCCCTTTAAGAAAATTAAATTATTTTAATGTATTAAGTAAATGTAAGAAGTGTATTATTAAATTCATTTTAAAAAATTATTTTTAAAGTAAATGAAAATTAATTAATTTAAAAATATCTTAATCATTAAAACAAGGACTATTACTTTTGGATTTATCGAATTAGACATAGAGCTTGAGCTTAAAGATGCTTACATTATTTATTTATTTATTTTCACAAAGTTGTCAATTAATCTCCCATCTTTCATCGTCTTCAATTTAAATGATTATGGCCAACCGGCCTTCTGACCAATGCCCAATTGGTTGGCCCCCAAACTTTAGGACTTGGGTGAGGCGGAGGTCAGGGCTTCAAGTTCTGCCACCGCCGTGAACTCCATCAACTTGCGACTTAATGGTCGCGCGCCTCAAATGAGGGGGTGGAACGTTCACTTTCCTAAAAAAATTTCAGCTGCTAACAAACTAACTTTACTAACTTCCTAACCATCTACCTGGTCAAAAAAAAAAATTAAATTATTATGAATTAAAATTAAATAGATCTTGAATTTTAAAAAAAATCAAGAATAACGATACCATAATTATTTGCCATAAATCGAAAGTGATCCTCTCAATTGTGTAATAGAGAAAGGCATTATTGATTATTCCTTTTATTGAAGTTCAATTGACAATTCAAATTGCTTAATATAAGCGTTAAACAATGAAGATTAATTCTTATTAGAGAGGAGGACGAGGCGGACAGCTTGCGGAATTGGTGGATATATATGGTAGTTGTTGTCTGTAGGTCTGTAATCGTCGGTGTTGATTATAGGAGGATGGTGAGGTGGCTTAGTGGCTAGTGTTTTGGATTTGGCTCTGTTGGTCCTTAATCTTCAGTTTTGACGTACGTGAGGAGGAGATGGTGAGATGGGGGAGGAGGCTGATGTTTTGGATTAGGCCCTGTAGGTCCGTAATCTTCAGTG